TCTTACAGCAGAGGGTAAGGAATCACAAGAATCGTAAATCTTGTAACCCAGGGAAATCCCAGGAAGAAGATCTGTTCTGTTATTTACTTCTTCAATGGCAAAGATCATTGTCTGCACTGACTGGAATTCTGCAAAACTGAAACTAAAAAGAACGTGCAGATTAGTTGTTTTTAGTCGACTAAAAAGTTATAAGACCAAGTAAATGTTACAAATTGTGTAAAAATCAAATTTGTTCTTCTATGTAAGATGTTGTTTATGTGTATAAAGGACGTAGCATTGTTTAAAAACATTAAATAAGCTATTTTTCAAAAGCTGTGAAATGTGAGTGGGAAAAAAAAGATTCAATTAAAAAACATAAATTAACCTTTTGCATTTCAGAGGTTGTGGTTCAGTTGTAAACTGAAATATTTTTTCCTGTGCATCTCTGTGTAGTGCGAAAATCCCTCCAATCATAATGTTATTCTCTCTCAATAAATGTGGAGCAGCCGGCTTTCCTTGTCGTTTGCAAAGAGGTTGTCCTTCTGATGTGAACAGAGCTAAAAACATCATGCATAGTAATATCTGCAAAAGCATCCTGAAAAAGCATGAGGATATCTCGGTATGATACAAAACCCTACAGCTCATTGTCTTTATACTGTACAGAAGGCACCAAGGGGAGCATAGATAAACATGAGATGAAAATAAGCAGAAATTCCCACAGATCTGTTTTTCAAATTTCCCCCAGGATGTCAAAGAAAGAGAAAAATATTTATCTCACGCATCACATTCCCATTCTTTACTTTTACTGATGTAATATTAAAGAACATAAAAACAAATGTGTTTTACTAGATTATCCATGCTTCACAACTGTTTCCTCCAGAGACTTATGGACTCCTTATTTTCTGAAAGTCACTGCTGAGGATTCTAAAATTCTAGGAAACGCAAATTAACTTGGAAAAGAAAAAACATCAGTTGTCTGTTTTGAAGAAGATAGACTTTGGATTTTAATTGGCTTTAATTCAGAAAGATGCGATTACTGTCGAGCAAATTACTGTAAATTCTGTCAATTTGTACATGTGTCCCTTGTCATATCCTGTAGAAATTCAAAAATATAAGCACATTAATTGCTTTAATCTTAGAAGAAATATAGATTTTTAAATCTTTTTAAACAATTGTTTTAGTAAAATGTCAGCTACCTTTATAAAAACATGTTTGGGTGTTTTGATTTTGGAGTCTTTGCCCTTGGCAGTGACAAGAGCAGTCCAATGAAGTGAATGACAAAACAGCAGCAAGAGATAAAGTCAAGATATTGTGTTCTATTGAGAAGCAAAACTGTAGCTTCTAAGTGTTTTCACTGATTATGTTCTGATGCTGTTTATCAACTGTTATAGTCTTTTTATCCTCCCCCTTAGCTCCTTGGTCCTGGAATTCAAAGCTAGGCTGTTTTCTAATGCAAGCGAATTGCAAGGGTGTTCTAGAATATGGCTGAATGCAACAGCAGACATTGCCAATGTGTAATTTAGGCAACCTCAAATTTGCATAGACATTTTCTGGTAGGTGAAAAAGAAAAGCATCTTCTGAAAGCACCATTAAAGCTGAAAAATGATGTAAAGCAAAATGGCAGGTCTCTGCAGAGCAGGCTGCTGAGTGGTTACGTATCTCCACTGCCATTTGTAAACACCCGTTTGTCCTCTGTACTGTATCTTTGCCATGCTACAGCTTGCCTATGTGTCTTGACGTAGTGAATCTGATTACATGATTAGTCTAAATTGTGTCTTATTTTAATAAACCAGTGCTACTTCACAACTTTAAATGACTGACCCATTGCTACTAATTAAGGGTTTCCTAGCACATGTTCATTTTTCCAATCCTTATTTGGCATGTTTTTGTGTTTGGAAAGTATAAAAAGGTGGTATGGTGCCAGGGGAGCAACCTCTCCCTCCCTCCCTCATCGTCAACAAAACTGAGGAGCTGTGTATTGACTTCAGGAAGCAGGGAGGAGGCCTCGCTCCTGTCTACAGTATATCAATGGGGCTGCTGTGGTCATGGTCAGCAGCTTCAAGTTCCTGGGCATTCACATCACCAAAAATCTAACCTCGCCCATAGACGAATGTTCATCCCATCTCCAACTTACCCTTTTTTGCAAAAATTCTAGAGCATGCTGTCACATTTCAATTACATAACCACCTCCTTGTAAGTTACCCTTTCGAACCCCTCCGATCTGGCTTCTGTCAACTTCACAGCACAGAAACCGCCCTGGTCAAAGTTACTAACGATCTTCTAATAGCATCTGATTCTGCATCTCTCTCTATCCTCATTATTGATCTCACTGCTGCTTTCGACACTGTTAACCTGGACATCTTAGTTTCTTGTCTGGAGACTGTGTTTGGAGTTTCCGACACTGCTCTCCAATGGTTTAAGTCTTACTTCACTGATCGCTGTCACTTTGTCTCTCTTGGGGGATTACGGTCTCGTTAAGTCTGGTGTTAAGTCTACTTTTCAGCATTTACATATTTCCACTAGGTCAGCTTTTAAGATTACATGGCCTCAACTATCATTTCTATGCTAATGATACTCAAATATACATCATACCACACCTGACACTGGTGTGGCCATCTCTATTCTATCTAGTTGCATCTCTGACATAAAAACTTGGATGACTCAAAATTTCCTTCATCTTAACTGTAACACGATTGAAGTCATGCTTATTGGTACCCCCCATCAACTTTTTAAAGGATGGTACTGTACTTGAGCTTCAGTCTAAATTGAAAAACCCTGGGGTCATATTTGATTCAGGCTTAACATTCGACCCACACGTGCAACATAAAAATCTTCGTTAAAACATTTATTTTCACCTCAGAGACATCGCTAGACTCTGCCCTATGTTATCACTAACTGTGGCTAAAAAGCTGATCAACACTTTTGTCTTCTCCCTAGTTGACTACTGTAATACTCTACTCACTGGGGTATCTAAATCCACATTGAACAAACTCCAATATGTCCACAATTTGGCAGCCAAAATCTTGACCAGGTCTAGTGCAAGTGATCACATAACTCCTATCCTGGAGTCCTTGCACTGGCTTCCTGTCATGTTTCGTGTCAACTTCAAAATCCTCACTGTCACCTATAAGGCTCTACATGGCTTGACACCTCAGTACCTGTCTTGTCTATAATCGCCCTACTCCCCATCTCGCAACCTTTGCTCCTTTAATTCTGGTCTCCTAACTGTCCCCCAAGCCCATCTACACTCTATGGGTAACAGGGCTTTCTCCTGTTACACCCTTAAGCTCTGGAACTCTCTCCCCAAGGATATCAGAGACTCACCTTCTCTAAACTCGTTCCTA